AGAGGGAGAACGTGCTAGCTGTTCTTTCAACACCCCTTCCTTTCAACACATTTTGTGTTTACTCTGGAATGCTATCAATCCTCTGAGCATAAATTAAAGAGTTCGCTTGCTATCTTTGCTGATTTCGCAGCCTACGCACACATTTCCCAACCACATGTTGGAACATTGGACTGGTACCATGCTCAGGATTATGTGAACCCCTTTGTTCTTCCTCCCTCTGCTAACACATCCCCTCCCCTGGCTAATCCAACCCTAGAATCCCAGGTTAGGAAATAACACCCTAGTTTCCTTCTCCAGTTCCCCTCTGAGTACTCGAGGTCCCTGAAAAACGACCACCTCTGCTTGAACTTGTCCCACCCACCCAAACCCCAGTGACAGGTGCTTCCAAGGCGCTTCATTCCTTTTCTTTAGACAGTGAGAAGTTCAAGGTTTTCCCTGTGTGGAATCAAATACAGGTTCACATTCCCAACTCAGTAACTCCCCAACCCAAACCGTTCAGACATCTAAACATGGGTTTGTAATTCTTTGGACAGCAAACCCTATTCTCTCCCCATGAGAGGCTTGATTTATTGTCTTGATTTACTCCTCCTGCGATTCACTGCAGACAGGCTGGCGAGTTCGTCTGCGGTGCTGCCCCAGGCCCCAGCTGGAGTGCAGCACAGTGCATGCACTGGACCACCTTTCCAAACTCTGCAAGATCATGGAGAGTTTTGAATAAGAAACTGTAAACCTGAATCTGCTTTTCTGGTATTTTGGTTTTCTATATCCATTTTACTTTTTCCAGATGGCCTAGAACTGACTGAAAGAGGTGCGTGGAAAGTTTCCTACTATTTGTTGGCTTCTCTGTTGCTCCCCTGAATCTCCTATAACTTTAGCTTTATGACTATTGTGTTTTCTTGCTTGATACATAGGTTTTCTTTCTCATTGTGAACCACATCTGTGAGCATGGTAAAGAGCCTTTCTCCGTTTTCACCTTATGTGATATTAAGGTTATGACCTGAGCTTTCTTTTCTTTGCTTTTGTTTCATATACCTTCATATATACTTTTCTTTTCGACCTTTCAGAAAATGCTTTTTCTTAGACGGACCATTTGCTTGATTACACTATGAAAGTGGGCTTTTCCTAGGAAAGAGTCTGAATACCTTTTCTCTTTTAACAGACAAGTGAAAGCCATTTCAACATTTATTGATAAATCACGTGTTAGCCTTAGTTCTATCGTAGTGATATTATATTACTTTCTGTTTTATCGTTTTTAAAAAGCTTTCACTCTGTTGTCTTGGTTGCTGTAGCTCTCAGATTTCAACAGATTTCTATTTTGCATTAGTTGTTACTTTTATAATGCAAGCTTTAAATAATACCTCTAGTGTTCTGTTATTTAACAAATGTCTATTAGTTCCTTCCTCTGAACAGTAAAAATGTAAGCAGATTTCCCCTTCTTTCCTTCCTCTCCTCTTCTACCCTAACTACTCAATATCTTTCTTAGAATTAATCTTTGTATTTTAAAGGTGTTTATTCTATTATTTGGCTTGTTGAGAATTTGACTTCTGCTTATTATAGACGGAGATGGCAGTAAAGTTTGCCTCTCACCTACTTCCCTCCACCAGGTCTTGTCACTTCAATTGTTTACACAGTGTCAGGTCACACAATTTTTGCATCCTTCTCAGCCACTCCAGTTTTAGCTTTGTCCGCAGTAAACATATTCAAACCTTGCAGCCAATATTTTGTTTCATAATTTCCCCAATAATCTCTTAGTTGGCAGACATTTTGTCCACTAGTAGTTTCCTTGAAAAAGGTTCAAAGAAGCAACATTCTCTAAATTCTTTCCTGTTCGAGACTATCTGTGGTCTTCACAGCTGAATGGTAATGTAGCTAGATATAAAACCCGTGGGTCACACTTTTGTCCCCGGGACATCATTTAAGTTTGCACCACCAGCTTCTGGCACCGGGCGTTGCAGTAGAGATGCCCAGTCTCTACTGGCTTTTGTTCCCTATAAGTGACTTGATCCTTTTGCTTGATTGATCATCTGTGAAGCCTAAAAACTTTACTAAGGTATGTCTCAGTGAATGGCTGTGGATTAACTTTTTCTGATACATGGTATAAATTAAAGTCATCTTTCTTTCAGAAAATTGGACTCGTATTTGATCTGTTCCACTGTTTTGGTCTTCTTCTATGAAGGCCCCAATTTACGTATCTATTGAATCTTCATTCCTTGTATTGTCTATTGTTTTCTCCCTTTTTCTAATTCTTTATTGCCATTCACTTTGCTTGTCTTTCTCCTCTTTCTCTCCCATGCCCCTTACTATGATTTGTTTAATCATCTTTGACTTGTGCCCCTTCCATTTCCTCTTTAGCTCTAACGCTGTGTTCCTCCTGAGTTCTGCCAGCCCTGCCTCATCTCCCCGCCACCTGGACATCTCTTCCCTGCATCCTCTTCCTCTTCAACTTTCCATTTTGAAAAATTGCCACCAGACCGACATATTGGAAAAGGAACACAATGAGCATCCTTATACCCTGCACGGAGTTTCCCCAACTGTTATCATGTGGCCACATCTGCCTTCCCTCTCTCGATACACACGCACGGCACACGAACACACTTTCCCAAACCATTTCAAAATAAATTGCAGACATCAAGATCCTTCGTGCATTAAGATATCAGCCTGCATCTCCTGAAAGGAGAATAATGTGGTTATCCTAAATAACCACAGGACTAATTTAATAATTCCATAAAATCATCTCATGTAAAGTCCATATTCGAGTTTCCCCAATTACTCCCCAACATGCTTTTAAATACCTTTTCTCAACCCACCAGCCAACTATACTTTGCATTTGGTTATGTCTCTTTGTTCTTTAAACACAGGGCAGACCCCCAACTTTTGTTACAATACTTACTCATTGAAGAGGACACGCCAGGTATTTTGTAAAACGCCCCATATTCTAGATTTGCCTGGTTAGTTCTGTATATTTCACTTGTTTTTCTAACACTTATACTTCCAACAAGCTGCCAGTTAGACCTAAAGACTTGGTGAGATTCATGGGAAACCTTTTCGACTATATTTACAGCATGCATTCCATCTTGCATTCTATCAGGAGGCATATGATTTCAGGTTGTCTCACTATTAAGAATTCCAAGTTTAGGGCCCTGGCTGGTGTAGCTCAGTGGATGGAACGCAGGCCTGCCAACTAAAGGATCACGGTTCAATTCCCAGTCAGGGCACATGCCTGGGTTGCAGACCAGTTCCCAGCAGGGGGCACATGAGAGGCAACCATATATTTATATTTCTCTCCCTCTCTCCTTCCCTTCTACTCTAAAGATAAATAAGTAAAATCTTTTTTAAAAAAAGAATTACAAGTTTGATCACTTGATTAGGTGGGTAACTGCCAGGTTTTGCCAATGCAAAAGTGTATATCTTCCCTCTATAATTACCAATTAATCACCACATGAAAATCCCATTCCCCAATTACTTTTTCCCCAACGGTTTTAGCATCTATCGATGCTCTTCACTTGCATCAGCTAGTACATTCGGGGTACCAAAATGGTGATTTTAAAAAAATTTTATTTGTACTATATTTCTGTTTTGTGGCCCTCCTTCACAGAAATAATTACTGTGTTCAGGGTTTGTTTGTTTGTTTGTTTGTTTGTTTTTTTAACTCAATAGCATAATGTTTGGACAGTTTTTATCTGCTCTGTGACAATGTTTTCCTGGTGATATTCTTCGATTGTTAGAAACTTTTCTACTCCTTTCCTCTTCTACTTTATAGTGGATTTAATTTCATGTTGTGTGTTACTCATCGAAGGAGCTGCTGATTTGCATGAGGCTCCTGCAGAATGGGCCAGGGTAGCCCACCAGGCTTCTGGCCTTTCTTCAGCCAGCCCAGGCTGCTTCCTACCCACCCGATTCTCTGTGTGGCCTGGGGTGGCAGCAGGGGGAGGGGGGCACAGGGATCCTGTCGCCCAACCCTTATCTATGCGGAATCCCAAAGGTCCCTGGGGCCTTGTTGGAATGTACTCATTTTTAGGCATTTCCTCATACCAAGCCCAAATCTGCCCACCCCCACCCCACAGTGTTTCACACCCTGGTCTCTACCCCACTCTCTGGAACCCACACAAAAAGCTTCATCTCCTGCTTCAGCAAATAGGAAACTCCGAGACCCCACCTAGGCCTGGTGGGCTCCACCCCGCCAAGAGGCCAGTGTATTCCTGACGACTGGTCCCTTGTCCCACCTCTGAAGGTACTACCCTGCTAGGTCGGACCACGCAGGTGCGCATCCACCACTCACACAAACTCACACTGCAGCCTGTCTCTCTCTAGTGCTGCCGCTTGCCCGGAGCCCGGCTTCCAGCCTGACACATGCGGTCATAGAACAAAAGTAGAGCTGTCAGGAAACTGGAAAGAAATGCCTGTGCATTTCTGTTTCTTGCTCAGGAAGTTTCCCGAGCTACGGGGCTCCCCAGGCTGCTGGCCAGGGAGTCTGGACACAGGGCTTCATAGCCAGGGACCCCCTTGGAGCTGCACTTCCTGAGAGCCCTCCAGCCAACCCTGCAGGCTCTTCCCTCTGGAGGTGTGTATGTTCCTCCCCTGAGACCCCCACCACCCAGGTTTGGGAATAAGACAAGGGTTTCCTTAGCACAAGTAAAAAAAACACAGGTACCTCAACTCCCGGGAAAAAGAGTTGTGGACATGTCCCGTCCTAGAGGCCATTGACACACCTGCCCCTACCCTGTCCCACAACCCCTCGGGATATGCCATCTACATCCAGGAAGGAAAGGTGATGTCATGCTTGACTCCTTTCACCCCTGCAGGTTTGGGGGCAGACAACGGAGGCAGCTTGCCGGGTTTGTCGAGGGCACCTCCTAAGTCATCAAGGACTGAGCAGAGGACGGAAAGGGCTGGACCTGGACTGGTGCAGGCCCTGGACTGGGCCCCAGGAACAGAATATCTGGGAGTGCTCGGCGAGGGGCAAAGGTGAGAAATAAGGCTGCTGGTTCCAGAAGCAGCGAAGTGGTGAAGGAGTGTGAGTGGCACCAAGAAAGGTCTAGGAATTCATAGGAGACAGGACGAGCGGACAAAGCTCTGGACTGTCTCCCCTTTGGGGCCACAACCGGTTGCACAATCCTTCTGTTTGCATTCTGGCCCGGACAGCCTGCCAGAGTAGACCATATCAGACCTGCTCCAGTTCCACTTGTCCTGAAACTCTGCCCCGGGAGGTGACTGAAGAAGGTTCCCCGGCGAGGGCTGAGCGGCGGAGGGAGCCAGGGTGAGCCAGTCTCTTGGCCTTGCGTGAGGATGGAGGCCCTCAATGTGTCTGCCCCGTTCAACTTCTCCCTGCCGCCCAACTTCGGCAAGCGCCCCACCGACCTGGCGCTGAGCATCACCCTGGTGCTCCTGCTGATCGTCATGATGCTGTCACTGGGCTGCACCATGGAGTTCAGCAAGATCAAGGCTCACCTCTGGAGGCCCAAGGGGGTGGCCATCGCCCTGGTGGCACAGTATGGCATAATGCCCCTCACTGCCCTTCTTCTGGGAAAGATCTTCCGGCTGAACAACATTGAGGCGCTGGCCATCCTGATCTGTGGCTGTTCCCCTGGGGGGAACCTGTCCAACCTCTTCAGTCTGGCTATTAAGGGCGACATGAACCTCAGGTAGGACTGGGGATGAGGAGGGAGCAGCCTGGGGACAGGGACCACATTGGAGGTGTCACAATCAAGGGGAAAATCTGGACTAAAGACAGAAGAGGGACTAAGTGAGGGTTGGGCAGGTGCTAGGGCAGGAGGTGGCAGGCGTTACTGTCAAGGGTTTGTGCTGGGCTGGGGGCAGGAGATGGGGTATGTCTTGGTTTAAACACCAAGCCTAAGAGACCAAGCTGGTCCAGGGACATCCTGGAGACCCCTTGACCCCCAGAGGCATCTCCAGTGAAGAATTATCTTAAGAGTATTGAATTAAACCAAAGGGGCGTCTGGGGACCTTTACCTGCCTAGGATGGTGAGCAAGTTATCTACTTTGAGGCCAGAGATCTGAAAGGAGGTGCAGGTTGGCTCCGCACATTTTCATGGAGATCATGGTGGCTTGGCACCAAATGGGCACCTCCAATTCTTGCATTGCAAGCAGGAATTTCCAAACCCCCTCCCAACTCTGCAGGCAGATGGGATGTCTTCTCTTAACTTCCCCCATCCTCCCATCAGATGTGGGAACATTTCCATGTAGAGGTCCAAGAGTTTCCCAGTGCCGGCCAGGTTATGCTGGGCCTTACCTCAGCCAAACTTGGGCGGGGCGTGGGGACCAGCAGCATCCCCATCACTGGCTGAGGAAACTCACCTACAGGAGCTCCTGCCTCCATCTAAGCCTCAGTCAAGCTCACTGCTCTTTGGTTGGGTCCTCAGTGGAGACTCTTTTCTATGCCAGGTAAAGCAGGGGATTCAGACAGTCCACATAACCAAGGAAGGTACCCCCTCCTGGTGACACTGAGTGAGGCCAGGGCCGATTTTAAAATGAATAACAAAGAGTGATCCTTGAGGTTTGCCAGGACCCTCCGTCTGAGTGGCTCTGGAGTCTCCACCCATAGGGTTCACCCTCACTGAAGTAGTCGATGGGAGAAGAGGCTTGACTTGTACAGGCTCCCACAGGAACACAGCCAATGTCCAATCACCTCACTGTGAGGAAGTTCTTCCCTCTGTCTAATTTCAATCCTTCTTGCTGCAGAGCAAACCCTTGGCCTTGGTATGGCCCCTGGACAAGGCTCATCGTAGTGTCTGTGTCCTGAAAAACCCAGACTATACCTTAATTCTGGTTTAGAAGAGACACAGGAGTTCAGTGTTGGGAAAGGGGTCCCCTGAGGGCTTTTGGATCTGTACAAACAGCCGAAGGGGGGTAGGGCAGTGTAAAGGACGATGGGGGAGTTCTTAAAGGGTCAATGACCAGATGTCCTGGCTCCTTTGGCCAATGGCTACTGACAAGGTCTGCATGTCTGAGGCCTCCACCCACAAGGCCTCTAGTGACTCAGGCTTGTGACCCCTTACACTCTCCAGCTCAGCCTCTGTGCCTGGGGCCTTGGAGACTGTCACTTCTACCCAGACCCAGATGAGATGATGCTCTGCAGGGAGAGCTGCCTTCCACCAGAGGACCCCTGCCCTCAGACAAACCTCCCATGTGCCTTAAGCCTCGCAGACCCCACTGTGGAGCAAGAATCCCATCATCAAACACCATGTGTTACCAGACTGTGCATTCCAATTTGAGTTCTTCTCGGACAATTTGTTGCACGTATTCTAATTAGGAAAATGACCCCGACAATAAAGACCAGCCAGCACTTCCCCCAGCATGCCACCTGGCATCCTCATACAGCAGCCTGTGAGGGGTGCTGTGGAAGGGCCCATTTAGAGGTGAGGAAACAGAGTCTGGGGCTCCAAAGCCTGTGTTTTTGTTCAAATATCTTCAGGGTCAGGCAGGGACAAAATACAAACAAAATACAAACAAAACAAAATACAAACAAAACCGGAGGCCCGCAGCCAGCCCCAAGGGCATGGCCCTGCCCCCGCTACTCAGGGCAGACGCCACCGGTGTGTTCCTGTCCAGGGAAGCCACCAGCAGCAGTTTCCTGCTTTTTGGAGAAGGCAGAAACTCCCCTTTTATCTGAAATCTCCAAATTCTTAAATATTGGCAAGTATTAAAAACGTTTTAAGATACCATGCAAGCTAAACTGGACACGTCAGAGGGCCAGTTGTCACAGAAAGGCCGCCAGTCGGAGACCTCTCTCAGCACAACGCTCTCCTATTCCCATTTAGAGGAGGGCCTTTTATGACAGAGATTCCACCTGACCCACGAGAAAGCTGGGTTCCAGAGACTTGTCAGAGGCTCCCCAGAATTTGTGGGCCTGTGGTGTCAGGAGCCAGGTGTGGGCTTTCTCCTCCGGGTGACACTGCCTCACAGCTGGGGCGGCCACGCTTACATTCCGGGAGGCTGGGCCAGCAGCTGGACCTCGCAGGGCAGCCAGACACGGCAGCTCCTTCCTCAAGGATGCCACTTAGACAGGCTCCAAAAAATGCAGGTGCCACAGGCAAGAGAAAATATCCCCAGAGTGGAGGCAAGCTTAGCTTGTCAAGGAGAGAGTGACCGAGGGAACTGGGCCCCTTTGAACACATTCGATATCCAAGTTCATCTGCTTCCCCTGACCCAACTCACAGCAGGGACCTCAGAGCCACTAGCTGTGGGAACAACAGACATGGACACAACCCAAGGATCCCCACAGCTCTACCCACTGTGACATGGGAAACCTAACCCGGAGGAGATGGAAGCCATTCGGGTTTCCAGAGTTTCTTACCCTTCACCACAGAGACCCTGGCAGGGCCCCTCGTGCCTCCCTCAGCTTCTGCTTCTATGGACTGGGGCTCAAAGTCCGTCCTCAGACTCAGCCCACAGAGGCCCAGAAGCAGGGTGTGTGCAGTGCTCTGGGAACTGACGTGGGAAGGATGAATAAAAAAGCAAATGTGCTCTTCTCCCCCTGGCCCCCGGCTCCCTGAGAGGCAACCACGTCCACAGTGTTACTACTATGGAATGGGTTCCAATCTCAGAATGAGGGTCTGGACAAGCCACCTCCTATCCCAGTCCTTCATGGTGAGCTGAGGGTCACGTCTGTCACAGGTTCCAGCAAGTCAGGCTGTGGGCATCTTTGACCAGGGCCCAGCACTTACGCATGTGGAGGAGGTCCCTGAGTATCTACAACCTGGCTCCCACACCCCCTGCAGGCACGAGGAACACCAAGTCCCAGAGCAAATTCCAGAACTGACATGTCAAGCCAAAGTAAGCATGACTCCTCTGCTAAAGGACATCTAAACAAGCCCACCTGTGAGTGCCGCCTTTCTCCTCAGAAGAGATCAACAGCTAGCATAGTGTACCCCTCCCCAATCTCAACCCCCCATCCCCACCCCACAGGGGCCACCTCCAGGAATTTAGCACCTTTATAGTATCGTTTATACCATTTCTACTGATGTACCAATTCATAAACAAGATATACTGTTAATAGTATTGGCACGTTTTTAAATTTCATACACACTATCATACTGCCCATGTCACTTGACAATTTGCTTTTTTTTTTTGAGATGTAGGCATATAAATAAGTAAAATAGCACCTTTGTGCATTTGGACTGCCACATAGCATGCTTATGTTTACCTAGTCTCCTGTTGTCAGACATTCACGTGGCTGACACTCTTGGTCGGCTCCCTGCCGTGACCCGCCTTGTGAGCATGCCCCGCACTCACGTGGGAGGGAGAGGCTGTATGGCAGCCGCAGGGCAGCCGGGTTGTGCAGTTCACACACCTTCTGCGATAGTCTCCAGAGCAGTCGTCCCGCTTTTTCCATGTTTTCATCCACTTTGGGGAGTGTCAGACTTTCCATTCGTGCCACCTGGTGATACTAACCCGGGTCACGGCGGCTGTGAATTTAATTTCATGGGAGGTCCAGTGCCTTCTTAAATGTTTACTGGCCATTTGGGTGTCCTCAGCTAGAAATAATGTTCTTTGTCTATTTTACCATGTCTATTTTATCTGTGTGTTTTCTTCTTAATTTGTCCTTTGCATTGTTTTTTTCTATGTTGCAACAGTCTACTCACAGTTTGGGGCTTGTCTTTACACTTTGATAATAATGTCTTATAACACAGAGTACTTATTTTGATTTAACCAAATTTACAAATATTTTTCCTTGACAGTTTGTGTTTTGGGGGTTCCTTTGAAAAGTTCTTTACTACCTTTAAGGTCATGAAGATATCCCCATATTTTCTTTGAAAAGTTTTAAAGTTATGCTTTTCACGCAGAGATCTTCAATTGCTCTAGAACTTATTATGTATGCTGTGATTTAATTTTACCTTTTCTATATGATAGAAAAAATACCCAGGACCACCAGGTGAACTTTTCTGTAGTGGTTTGTAATTCCTCGCCCCGCAGACCAGAGTCACAGACGGGCACATGTCTGTGTCTGGAATCCCTCTTCCCTTCTACTGGTCTCTGTGGCTCTCCTTGCATGATACCACACTTTCTTAATCACAATTTTTGAATCAGTTTGATATCTGAAAGGTGAGTCCCCCTACCTTGTTCTTGAAAATTACAGTGGTTATTCTTGACCTCTTACTATTGCAATTGAATTTTGGGGTAGACTTGAAGCTCTCAAGTCTACAATAAATGTTTCTGGCATTTTGGTTAAAGTTGCATTAAATTTATAGATACATTTAGAGGCCATCTTTATAATATTGAGTCTTCCCATCCAGGGAAACCTATAGCTTTTCTTTTACTTAGGCTTTATTTTATACCTTTTTATGAAGTTTTGTCATTCATCCCATAAAAATTTTGCTTACCTCTTTTGGATTCATTTCTAAATATTTTATAGTTTTGTAAATGGTACATTTTATAAATCATGATAATTATTTTTCCTACTATATCAAGACTCAATGGATTTTTTTATATTGTTAATGTATTCAGAACCACATGGATTCTCTTATTTACTAGTTATCATTGAAATTCACTTGGACTTTTTGTGTGGACGGTCTTATCATTGGCATATAATGAAAATTTAATTTCTTCTTTTCTCATTTCTATACCTTTTCTATTTCTCGTTTTGCTGTGCTAACAATGACCTATATGTAATATCATTTACAACACAGTTGATAATAAAAGGCATCCCTGCTTTTTTCATCTAATTTTTCACCATTGAGGTTACTGTCTCCTATAAATTTTTGATTCAGGAATTTTCATTCTGTTGCTTGTGTGCTAGTTTTTAGCATGCATGCATGTACACTGAACTTTGTTGAAAGACACTTTTCTGCCTGTAAAATGCTTATAACATTTTTAACTCAATAATAGTGATATATATCAGTAGATTACCTAGTGTTAAGCCATTCCTATGTTGCTGGGATTAACCCATTTTGTTCATTGTATTATTTTGTAAAGATATTACTAGATTCATTTGCTAATATTTCATTTATTTGTTTGCCTCTATGTTCATAAGTGAGAATGGCTACTAATTTCCCCTTCTCATAGTGTTCTTTTCCAACTTTGGTTCTAAAATTATGTTATTTATATACAAAAGGGGGTATGTTCTTCCTTTTCATATTCTCTGTATAATGTTGCGACTATCTACACCTTAAACCTCTAGTAGAACTCTACTGTAAAACCATGTGGGGATAAGATGATAGGTTTCAGAAAACTTACTAAATGTCCTAATGGTTCTAAGTTGATTCAGATTTTTGGCTATCTTTTGAATTTGTTTCTGTAATTATATTTCCCAGGAAATTGTCCATTCAATCTAAATAGAAAAATCAAAGTATAAAATTATATATGAAATTATGTTCCCCTTTTCATTCCTAATGTCTTCAATTGTGCCTTCTCTCCTTTTCTTTGATAAGTCTCGCCACTGTCTATTCATTGGTCTTGGCAAAACAAACTGGTTTTGGTTTAATTGGTCCTCTCAATTTATATAATTTTTAAAGTTTATTCTTTCATCTTTAATATTTTCTTTCTTGGACTTTCATTGGGTTTACTTTGTTTCTGAAATGGAATGCATGCTTAGCTCATTGATTTTTGTTTGTCTTTCTGATTTTCCTCTATAAACATTTAAGTCTATTGATTTTTCTCTAAGAATTAATTTAGATGCTCCCCAGCTTTTTAAAATTAACTTATTTTTTGAGATATAATTCACATACCGTCATAAAATGTACCCCTGTAAAGTGTATAATTCAGGAGTTTTTAGTATCTTCTTAAGTTTGGACAACTATCACTGCTACCTAATTCCAGAACATTTTACTTACCCCAGAAAGAAACCCTATACCCAGCAGCACTCACTCCCCATTCTTGCCTTACCCAGCCCCTGGCAACCACTAATTGAATTTTTGCATCTACATATTGCAAAGAAATGGAATAACACCATATAGGGCCTTTAATGTTTCTGCCTATTTTACTTACCATAATGTTTTCAAAGTTCACCCAAGCGACAGCATGTAGTAGTACTTCCCACTGCTTTTATGGCCAAGTACTATTCAGTTGTATGGACATTCCATTTTGCTTATCCATTTATTAGCTGATGGATTTTTTATTGTTTTCCACTTTTGGCTGTTATGAATAATCCTGCTATGCACATTAGTATCCATGTTTTTGTGTGGAAATATGTTTATTTCTCTTGGATATATATATGCCTGGGAAATGGCATTGCTCAGTCATATGGCAACTCTTTTTGAGGAGCTGACAACTATTTTCCATGATGGCTGTACCACTTCACATCCCCATCAACATGTGAAAATTAAAACCTCTCCCCATGCTTGCCAAGACCTAGCCAGCAATTTTACTGCAGCCACACCAGTGGGTGTGCAATGGTACCTCATTATGGTTTTGACGTTTATTTCTCATTTATGCTTATTGGCCAGTTGCATATCTTCTTTGGAGAAATGTCCAATCAAGTCCTTTCCCACTTTTAAATTCAGTTATTTAGGGCTTATAAGTTAAGTTGTAAAAGTTCTTTATATATTCTAGATACTAAACCCTCATATGCTTTGCAAATAATTTCTCCCATTATGTGGGAGACTTCTTTGATAGTGTTCTTTGGAGCACACAGGTTATTCATTTTGATGAAGTCAAATTTATTTGGTTGTTCATTTATTAGGTGTCATATTTAAGAAACCATTGCCTAATCCAAGGTCATCTCCCCACGTGTTTTTATTTTTATTTTAAAGATTTTATTTGTTTATTTTTAAAGAAAGGAGAAGGGAGGGAGACAGAGGGGAATAAACATCAATGTGTGGCTGCCTCTCACATGCCCCCTACTGGGGACCTGGCCTGCAACCCAGGCATGTGCCTTGACTGGGAATTGAACCAGCAACCCTTTGGTTTGCAGGCTGGCACTTAATCCACTGAGCCACACCAGCTGGCGCTCCCCATGTGTTTTTAAATATGCATTATAGTATATTCTATTCCCCATGTTTTCTTTTCATTATTTGATATTTGACCCATGAGATAATAAGATGTTTTATTTTTCCAATTTGTTTTTTATTATTGATCTCTCTGTTTCAACTCTCTTTTCAGAAGCCTAAAACCTCAAATCTGGTCCCTGTCTTAGGCATTAAAACCAAAGCCTCCAGATTACCAAAACGGACACTCTACTTCCTACCCCTCCACAGAGTGTAGCTTCAACATGAGTTTACCCACTAACTACAGCAGCTCCTCAAATACCAAACAACGTTTCCTCCAACAGTGTTGTGATCCAACATTGGCGAGATGCTATAGGAACTTAACTTGTTTATGTCAATGAGCTCATGGTTAAACTGCCTTTTTGTATATTTCAGTAAGTGAAGTATGTGCAACTTTAAGGTGAAGACTTACTTTACTTTGCTTTCTTTGTTTCTGACCCCTGGGAACCTCCCTTACTTTCTTACAAGCTCAAGGATGTACTTAAGTGTTTCAGATATTCACAAGGGAAGGTTCCCCATTATTCAGCACACAGGTGTCTCACCTCTGACACCATCTTATCCCTGCTATCCTCTCCCTATTGGTGTTTTGATGGCTACACTCTGGACCATTTGTACTAGGCTTTACTTGATGTTCATTTAAGCCACAGTTCACCTTGATGGAAACAATGGAGGAGTGTAGATAGAGGACAGGGCTATGGGGAGGAAGGATACACACTGCAGTGATTATCCTCAGATGCTGCTAGAATGGAAGCCAGAGCCATAGAGTGAAAGGTCTGTGTCCACAAATCCAAGAATGTTCCCTAGCAGCTTCATTCTCTCAGTTGGTCTTTCTGGAAGGCATGTTGCCTATACAGGGTCCTGGGACGAACATATATTAGATTCTGAATGAAAATGGTAATAGGACAATTAGGATATAAATTAGAGCTGGGATGGTATGTTATTCAGGCTCTGAGACTCACACTCAGTTCATTTAAAGAACGTAAGGATAAACCAGAAAGAACATGAGAACTACCAGTGTTGGGGACTAGAGCCATAATTGAGATACAAAGCAGCTCTGATGACCAGGTTGTCTGGTCATTTATGCAGCACATTCTATTGCTGCTGTTTTTATAGTCCCTCTGATCATGGTCTCTGTTTATTTTTCCTTTGCATGTTTTTGGGGACTGCCTGGCCACTCCACCACCGCCACCCACTCTTAACGACCACATGTTCTATCATTGTGTCTCACATTCAAAATCTCCAAGAGAGAAAATGTTCTTGATAGAGTTAATTCTTATTTCAGTTGGACATGACCACTATGTCCAGCCATCCCTGAGGCTCTAAGACGACACAACCATGGGCCAGGTGCTGCTCTGTGATCCAAATGGGATAAGGTAGTCAGAATGATGAAGTCACACAGTTGGCTTTCTTCTAAATGGGCTGTGCATATAGCAAGTGCTCAGAGCAAAAAGAGTTCTACTAAAGAGGGAATCAGAATACTCCTTCCAGAAGGAAGCACATCGGGATTGAAGCAGTTGGACAGACTGGGTACAAATCCTGCCTCCAGCCATTACTACCTGCTTGATCCCAGAGAAGTCATGACTCTCCTAGTCCTTAGCTTCCTTATTAGCAAAAGGGAGATTGTATGCTTACCTCCTAAGGCTACCAGGAAAAGAAAATGAAGCAATATATGTAAAGTGCTTAGCCTAGTGTCTGGCACATGGCCGACAGTCAAGAAAATCATCCATATTAATGGGCTTTCTGTCTGCACTCTTCCTATGTCTCCCACGCAGCATTGTGATGACCACCTGTTCCACCTTCTTTGCCCTGGGCATGATGCCCCTCCTCCTGTATGTTTACTCCAGGGGAATCTATGATGGGAACCTGAGGAACAATATACCCTATGGAGGCATTATGATATCACTGATTATGGTTCTCACTCCTTGCACCATAGGGATCTTCCTCAGCAGCAAAAGGCCACAATATGTACGCTACATCATCAAGGTAAAAATTGGGGGGCTTGGGTGGGGAGCAAGATCGCCACCGTTGTCTCAGCATATGGCTTGACGCAAGTCATTTGGTTTTTTTCCCTTGTTTACAAAAAGGGAAGGGAAGGGGAGAGGAGGGGAGGGGAGGGCATAGGAGGAGAGGAGAGGAGAGGAAAAAGAAGAGAACAAAGGTCTACTACTGGGACGCCCACTTAAAAGGATTATAATGTACCTGAGAATACTTTCAAAAAGTTAAGAGAAAAAAATTAAACACCCTACACAACTATAAGGTGTTATCATTAGTTTAATAATTAAATTAAATTAAAATTTTGTTACACACCTACTATATTTTTTATCCTACACCTTCTGAGGATTCACAAACAGTTTGCAGAAAGTGAAATAACACACTAGAAACGAGACCCAACACAGCAGTCAATCAAGCATTGGCAGAATGCAAGGAAGTTAGTGAGGGCCTGGTAGCCCAGAAAGGTCTCCTGGAGTGGACAGTCTTGGGCCAAAGCATGAACAAATATAGGATTTGGGTAAGCCTGGGGACAAGCCTGCATGTGAGGAGGTAACACAAACCTAGCTGCCTGGCCAAGAAGCCAGAGGGTGGAACCCAGGTGAGGAGGTAATATGTACATTCCCAGCATTTCAGGAGTGAGATGAGAAAGGAGTGCAGTGAGTAGGACCCCAGAGGGTTGGGGGAGTGCTGTGGTCACAGACAGAGCATCAGGCCACCACCTTGCCCTTGGAAGAATCACAGACTCTTGGAATGCAACCATGGTCCCTCTGCCAACTTTTGTGACCGTACAGCTGGGTCCCTGTCAGTGTCCACTCTGGCTCACTGCTCATCACTTGTCCCTGGGAACACTCTGCCTCCCGACATACTGAGGGTGTGTTCCATCCTGCCCCTGGATCTCTGCCCCAGGGCCTGTCTGCAGAGCCTGCTATCTGGAAGCCAAGGCTCAGCAGCAGCTTAGGCCTTGAGACAAAAAAAAAAGCTGCAGTTCAGGCTTTCAGGGTTATCCAGATTTTCACACTATCATTGTCAGAGTAGTTTTTGCCCTTGTCCTGACACAATCCTGATACTGTGGCCACAGCTCCCCTTCCCACCTGTTCAAAGACATGGACGCCATTCCTCCCCCTCCTGCTCATGCTGATCGCCTTATTCCGCTCTGGATGGCATCCTCCATTCTCTCCACCCTTGCTTCTCAAAAAGCTCCTTTTGTTGATCATGTGCCTTAGCCCCCCATGATCTCCCTTACCTTGCTCTCATTTCTAGAACATCGCTATTAGTTGTTCCCAGCCAGCCTTGATATGGAGTCACACCTCTCTTATCCTTTTTTTAAATCCTCACCTGAGGACATGCTCATTGATTTTGGAGAGAGGGGGAAGGAGGGGAGAGAGTAGTAAGGGAGAAACATCAGTCGGTTGCCTCTCATATGTGTTTGGATGAGGGACAGACCTGAAACCTAGATAAGCGCTTTGACCAGGAATTGAACCTGCAACCTTTCAGTTTACAGGACAATGCTCCAAACAACTGAGCCACACTAGTGGCTTTTTTTTAAAATCCCTTCTTAACCACACTTTGGGAAACACCTCTCCCCCAACCATGCCCTCTCTCATGGCTTCTTCTCCCAGCACACCGCTACCAGGGCTGCTCTCCCCAGTGACCAAGCCCTCCACAACCAGTCTCAGTAATGTGAGTCCCTCTCTTCTCTCCTCCTTGGTCTCCCATCCACTCAGCATCCTGATGACCACTTGCTCCACTCTCTTCACCAAACCCACAGATTATGGTGGACCAGCGGCTCCTTCTGAAGAGCCTTCGCCCTCAGCCTCGGGGACTGGATGCTCCAGCTTTTCCCACCACCTCTCTGGTGCTTCTTTTCCGATTCCCTTATGAGTCTCCATGATACCAGTTCTCTGTATTCAGCTCAAACTCTCTGCTTCTCTTCCCAGGCTTCCCTGAGCCCAGGGTCTTCCCACCACAAAATCTAGCCCATCTCAGCAAACATCTACGGGCTGAGATGACTTGCAAAATAGCCTCTTCAGCCCTCACCTCTCTCCCGACTCTGGAATCCACTTATTGGCTGTCCAGTCTTTCTACATAAATATGCTTCGGGCATTTAAAACTTGGCATGTCTTAAATTAAAATTAGCTCCTCCCCAAGCCTGCTCCTACCCTTTCCTTCCTTGATTATCTCGATGACTGGAGTTGCGCATGCCCAACTGCCTGAGCCAGAAACTGGAAAGTTATTCTCAATGTCCCCTCTCCCTCCCCACTCACACTAATCAGTGATCGTCAGTTCTATCTGCTTTTGCTTGAATCCATCCACTCCTCCCTGTCCTGTGTCCACAGTCTTCGCTCAGGCCACTATTCTCTCACTAGACAACTGAAATACTCTTCTAACCTGGCTCCCTGACCCAGTTTTAACCCTGAGGGTGGAAAATACAAACCCTCCCCCAGGACAAAGTTTAAATTCATTCATGTGGGTCCTCAGGCCTTTCTTGACTTGGTCTCAGTGGACCTCTCCAGTCTATTTTCTTTGCAAGTGCCCTTTCCCCTACCTGGAACCCTCCCCTCTCCAAGTTCCACCTCATCCACCACCTTCCGCTGGGCTCACACGTGCTCACCCTTCACGTTCAGCACAAACGGCATCTCCCCAGGCAGTTTTCCCTAACTCGCAAGCCTGCCTAGCACGCTGGTCCCATTTACTCCCACAGCACCCAACACTGACCGAGGCAGCCCTTATACTGTATTATCAACACCTGTTTGTTTTTATTCCCCACTCACCTCGAGTTCCTCATGAAGAAAGATCCTAAAGCCATATGTTAACCCCCAATCCCGGTACCTATCACAGCGCCCTAGTGCATGAGAATAAATAAAGGAATAACAGAGCAAGTTCTGTCTCTTGCGCATATTAGCATTGGGGAAAAAAATCCAGAAATGTGTTTGTGCAGACCATTTCATTTATTCAAGATAGTGTGTGGGGTATAGCAACAAAGGAGAAAAATCACAGAACAGCCCTGGCCAGTGCAGCTCAGCCTGTTGGAGCATCATCTCATATCCGAGAGGGTGGGCCTTCGATCCCCCGTCGGGGCTCTTGCCTAGGTTGCGGGTCCAACCCCCAGGCTAGGCGTGCATGGGAGGCAACCAATACATGCTTCTCTCTCACATCAACATTTCTCTTTTTCCTCTCTCTCTTTCTCTCTATAAAAGCAATTAAAAAAAAAAAAGTCCTCCAGCGAGGATTAAAGAAAAAAATCACAGAATATAAAAATTTAAAGTAACCTGATGATTTAATGCAACTCTACCCTTTCCCATTTTATTTTTTATATGTTTATTGATTTTAGAGAGAGACAGAGAAACATCAATGTGAAAGAGAAACATCGATCAGTTGCCTCCCATACACACCTTGGCTGGGGTTTGAACCCACAACCTAAGTACATGTACCGTTGGTGTACGGGTCCACATTCCAACCAAGCAAGCCACACTGGCTAGGGCTACCCCCCGCCCCCATTTTATAGATGAGAAAACCAAATAACTAGAACCCCACGTGCAATTGATATAAGAACATATGCTTCCTTTTTACCTCAGAATAACTTTAATTAAAAGTATCCCAAGGATGCAAAAAGAATCTCGGATCTTCAAGCTGTAAGGTCCTTCAAGATAAGGTTCAGTCTCCTGCCTTATTCCCATTTAACAGGTAGAATCACTGAGGCCCAAGAAAGTTACCTGGCAGAGTCAAGGTCATCAGTCAGCCTTCTGCTCCTGTTGTGCTGCACATCCCTGCTCAACTCCACTGTAAAAATGGAGTCAAACTCCCCCCAGAGAACATTAGAAGGACTACGATACACCTGGGCTAGAAAGACAGGGACAGTGTACATCTAGACCCAATTTACCAAGGCTGCACCTCCAGGGTCAAACAACCAGAGGTCAGCAGCTCCATCTATCAAATAACCCCCAATAGAAGTCACCCCCGAGGATGCAGAGACAAGTGTGTGGTCACAAGGCCAAGGCTGAGGTCCCTGCTTTCATGGTTCTTGGAGGTCTAGGTTCATCCTTCATCTCCCCGCTTCATAAAATATAATGAGTTTCAAGCTGAAAAGTGGGCTAATGATCATCCCAGCCTCTTTGCATACTTAACCCTCCTAGAGATTTTCATCTCAAAATAATCCAACTCCTAAAAACTGTCTCTGGCAAAAAGGTATCTTCTCAAACTCTGTTCAACCAGTTGCATTTCCTAGTGGGAGGTCATATTCAGATACACCAAGATATGATCTCAGGAATGCCAGTCTGGAAAGGCAGTTCACATAACACTTTACCTTCCCCACAAGGGTTTATTCAAGGCTCTGTGGTTGGTGAGCCCAAGCACAAAATGGACGGGAGCCATTTTTACCAAAAGCCAACCACCACTCCTTAGTAAGGGTCCAGCCATCACACTGACTCAACCACTCTACTCACGCTTCCCCCACCTGCTGCTGCTGGCGTGCTGACCTGGCTTTGCCGCATGGCTTCTGCCGACTTGTGGCCCCTGCTGCTCCCAGGCCTCTGTGTCTTTTAACACATGCATCTGCTCCTGCTTCCCTATAAGTCTGAAAACTCCTGGAATGAGAGGATGTGACTACTTGGGTCACTCACCAACCTGTGCAGGCCACCTTTGTGAGAATAATTTGGGCCAGATCATGTCCTGGGTCAAGCTGGAGGAATTGGCTCCCCATGAATGGGCACTCATCACAGGTTCAATCATCTGACAAGGTAGTGAAGTCCACTGGCACCAAAGAAAAACACAGCGACTGATGGAGAAGACGCTACCCGTGGCCTCCCGTCTCAGCAGGAGGGTGCGGACATGAGATTTCCATACAGGGCAGGCCTGACTGTGCAGGAAACTTTGGAGGGTTGGTTTCCTCTCCTTTGCCTACGAGTAACGGGAGCTACAGTTTGGTGGGTGGTCCTTACACGGCAGGTCCTGTGCCACCCACCTCAAAGAGGCTACGTGACTCAGCCAAGGTTATACATCTGGAGTCCAGCTAAGCCAGTTTTCACAGCCGGGTCACAGCAAAGTCTGTGCTTATATCCACTCAGCAGCCCCTAAGAGCGGGAGAACAGGCGCCAGGGCATGTGAGTGAATGCCCCCAGAGAAAAAGGGCTCCTGGGTTCCTGGACAATTCCCATAGCCCAGTGCCCCCACCCTTTTCCATTCCACTTTTTTGGGGGGTCAAAAACTTTGGTTTTTCGGTGGAAGACAATGAAAAATCCAAAAAGAGAAATCAACTCAAAATGCAGGAGCAAACTGAGCAAACCAAGCACTGCATCAGTTTCGAGTCTTTTAGTAAAATTTGAGGCCTGTAGTTATTGAAGAGACCTGTGAAACTCCTTCCTGCCATGGGATGGGACTTAGTGGGTGCAGGTGAGGTTTTATATGGCCACCATTGGGTGGAACATAGATTAAAAACACAGAGATGCAAAATTGTGCAGCTAAAATTTAAGCAAAATAAATGTTAAAATGTTACCAGGACAAATTTGTGGATGTAATTAGTGCCACTGAATTGTGCACTAAAAAATCGTTTAAATGGCAACTTTTGTGTTCTACTTTACCACAATTTTTTAAAATGGCACAAGGGGTATCAAATGCTGCATCTGTGAATGAACTGAAAACTGAACCAACACCTATAATCATTACATGCTAACATGGTAAGCTCAAAAAAGAATTTGATATATCTTTACTTAAAAGATGAATGAGACAAAGAACCTTCAATTTGTGCATATACTTTATCAGTTTGGAGTGTGACATTCTCCAAAATGCAGATTATAAATCCGTCTTGAAAATTAAAATGGTAAGATGCAACTAGAATTTTTAAAACAAAGGGTGGCTTTCATACTAAATATTAACATGAATTTAATTGTAGTATTCTTAAAAGCAATAACTGTTGCTTCCACAGAACTCACCTGGGACAGGGTGGACACCTGTATTGTTTTGGATGATGCCATCATGACCCAAGACATCCCTGAAGCTCTTTTTAGGGACTTCCTTCCTAAACAATGTGCAGGTCACTCAAGAAAGTAGGCTGGACTCTTTACAGTCATACATCATTTTGGATGTAAAACCACATTACCTGACTTGATGATCCAACCTGTATGTTTATTAGCTTCACTTCAAATGACTCTTGGCAACATCCAGAAGTCAAATTCATCCTAAAATGGATGAGGTCCCTTCCCATAATGGAAGTCCTACTTGAGACAAGGATGACAGGTTCTAATAACAACATCGAGTAAGTTCCAGCGTATCTGGAGCCATGGCAGTATTGCTGGGTTGTGCATACAAGCTCTAGAGTTGATGCCTTTGCAAGAGAACTTTGCATTTACAAGAACCGCTTTGCAAGGGGGCGGAACAGTCTCGTTCCTTCACGGTCAGAGCACGTACTTGAAAATCCACTCTCCAGAGATGTCAAGCTGACACTGTACTTGGCTTAGTCTTTAGTAACAAGTGTTAATCAGGTCTCTGTCTTCCTGGAAGCTTCCTAGCTACTGATAAGAATTAGTTTTCACTTACAGTTGACATTATTATTTTGTATTAGTCTCAGGTGTAAAATTTTCCAAAAGATGGAAAACAAAGGTCTTTTGTAGTCACTTCCACTTCAAGTGCCAATTATATTTTAATTAAAATGGTTCCCACCTTCCATGCCCGCAGTGCTTTGACCACGTCCCTCGGCACCTCAGTGTCCCCACTGCCCTGCTAACTGCCTCTACTCCTTGTCCTCCTTCCCAGACAGGAACGACCATCATGCTTTTGCTCAGCGGGGCCATCGTAGTGCTGTCCACCATCAATGTGGGCAAAAGCATCATGTATGTCATGACACCCCACCTGTGGGCCACCTCCTCCCTGATGCCCTTCATTGGCTTCCTGATGGGCTACCTCCTCTCCGTTCTCTTCCGCCTCAATGGACCGTAAGTATTCCTTTAGGTCTCACTGTTTCATGGGCCTCACCTTTGTCCTGGTCTCTCAGGAAAAGGACGAGGAGATCTGAGGTCTGGGGGAAGGTATTTTCCTAGCAATATGTCCAAATGCGTCAACTGAACAAAAGACTTGGGACTACAGCGAGACATTGGGAAGGAAGGGGATAGTTTACAAATATTAATCTGGAGAAGGATGGCATTTCTCTAATCACCTAGGAACCAATAACTCATGGCAAAGTGCTCCCTCCGGAGTCTAGTTTCCAACTCCTGCCCAAACTCCTGGTAGCTAATGGCACCAGGGTATCTCCATGGCATCATGACGAGGGTTGATCATTTTCTCCCTCTCCAATTTTCCTCCTTTTTTGCCTGGACAAGGACACCATCCAGTGACAGCTCTGCTAAGGGGCACTCAGAGCTGCAGTGGCTGGGACCTCGTCCTCGTCTAATCCAACTGCGAACAGCTGCTACTTTCGGAGAACAGATGGCTTGGCAAGCCCGGTATGGGAACACCAGGCTCCGTCCACAGAGAGAACATTCCAGGAACCCGTGCTTTTTTCAAGCACAGGCAAATGCTTATGCAGGAGCCCACACATTAGTAGCACCCTAGCGCCTTCCCCCCAACAAAAACAAAAAAGTGTTTTAAAAATATAGCTTAAAAATAATTATCCCTAAAGAGAATGAAGATTGCAAGATAGGAGGGGGTTAGGGACTGCGTGAAAAAGGTGAAGAGATTACAAAGTACAAATTGGTAGTTACAGAATGGTCTCAGGGATGCAAAGCAGAACATAGGGAATACAGTCAGTAGTATTACAAGAGTTATGGTGCCAGAGGATCACTGTGTAAATCACATAACTGTCTAACCACTATGCTATACACCTGAGACTAATGTAAAATAATACTGAATGTCAACTGTAAGTGAAAACTAAAACTTAAAAAAAGCATTTATTTTTTAAATAGAAAGCATTCACTTTTAAAACATGCTAACAAAGAACAAACTACCACAGGATGTGACACATGGCAATAAAGCGGAGTCGAAAGGCTGCCGTGACCACTCGGTGTGGATTTTCACAAAGACACAGTGATTCGTACAGATCACAGCCCCCCGGCACCAAGTGCCCGAACCTTCACAGCAGCCCTCCCCACAGCGCACCCGGAGAGCGCTCAGGGTGCTCGCCAGCAACGACTATTTTAATACACTGGTTGCAATTCAGTGAATTTGGTTTATTTCCATTAATTGTGAAAATCCCACTCCTTAATCTGTAAAATGGACTGCAAAACCAAGAGAATGTATTCCAAAGACAAATAAATCTTTGAATCAAGTTTTTTTATTTTCCCAGTCATCACATGTTTTGGAGTTCAAGGTATCCAAGCCAGAATCTTGGGGACAGAACAAGGCCCCCAGACATTTCCATCTTCCACTGAATGTTGAAATTGTCGTTGTCCTGTCTGTATGCCCAATATAACAGGACTCAACACCTTCCTTTCATCCTTCATCAGCTGGACGTTGCTCCAAATTTTAATTTGGTAACCCTACAAAAGTGCACAAATTGTAGATTTCCAAATAATCAAAAATGATCTCATAAAAACTCACAACACGAACCAACTAGGCACCATCTTCCACAAGGCTGGGTTAGTGATTTTGAGACACGTCAACATTGCTTTTCTTGAAACCCCACGCACCCCGTACCCTGGCACACTATCATCTGCCTGTCTTGAGGTGTTCAGTGGGTCTTAAAGTATCTGTGAAGGAAGAGATAGGGAACTGAGTTTGCAACTCATGCCTCTTTTGTGAGAGCATATGGGGTCGGTTTTTTTTTAACCTACAGATGCAGCCGCACTGTCAGCATGGAGACTGGGTGCCAAAATATCCATCTCTGCTCTACCATCCTCAATGTGACCTTCCCCCCTGAAGTCATAGGACCACTTTTCTTCTTCCCTCTCCTCTACATGATTTGCCAGACTGGAGAAGCGCTTTTCATCATTGCCCTCTTCCGGTGCTATGAGAAAATCAAGCCTTCCAAGGGTGAGTACTGAATTATTCCCCTTGGACATCTGTTCTCATATTGGAGGCAATCCAGCTTCTGGCAAGGACCTTTTGGATGGGGCTATCGTTCTTCTCAAGGCAAAGGAAACAGACGGCATCAGGAAGCACAAAGGGATCTCAAAGAGCCGAGGCTACATCACTCACTGCATTCTGTTTAGAGAATGCAGTGGGTTAGAGTTGGCCTCATGGGACTGAGGAATGTGGGCTACTTTAACTGAGACCATAAACAGCGCTCAGGAGAATGCAGGACAGAACTTTCTCGGCCATTAGATAGTGGTGAGGTATTAGTTGTGTGGGAGGACCCCTTTTGCAACAGTTCAGGAGGTCTGTACTTTAGGACCAGGTTCTCGTGTCCAGGAACCAGGTGAGAGTCCCAGCACCACAGGCACCCCCGCATGAGGGAGAACATTAAAGTGATGCAGCCCCATAGCCCTGCATCCAAAAACAGAATTCCAATTCCTGTTACACAGTAACTTAAGTTTATTGAACAGTAGCTATCACCATAATCTAGTTTGATCTGACTTATACCTTAAATTAATCTGATTACTACTAGATTAATAACTTCCTAGCCAATTAGTGCCTATTTTCTGAGGCTCAGATCATTTCATTCTCTTGAAAATATAATCAAAACTCCAAAAAGCTCACAGTCCCTTCCTCAAAGTGGACTTTAACCTTTTTTTTTTTTCCCAAACCAGGAAACACAAACTTACTTGGAAACATTACTTATTTTATATTCTAAACATCAGTATATTGTTAATCACTCAAATCCTTAAACTCTTATTCCCACAAAATTAACTGAGAGTTGCTTGGAGACCTTTTTCCTAGACACCTGATAGTCAGGAGTCTAGAAAAAATCAGGGTATAAATCACTCCCCTTTTCCAGGGACTGATTTATACCCTGGGGGAAGGATGCAACTTCCCCTCGTGAGATTATCTCGTAGTGGGCAAATGCCAATTTACAATGAACTAAAGCCTAACCTTGGTTATCAAGCAGCCAAAAAGAAACCAATAACTAGCTGACCACACCTCAGAATTTTGTAGGTGTTGATTCAATACGGCAGTGGAGTTGTAGAAAACCTACTCTGATGCTTATTTAAGAGCAACTCAAGAAATCCATGGCCATGGCAGTCTCCACCCACTTCAACAAAAAAATTAAAAAGCAAGAGTGGACAAGATTTCTACTTTGTGGACTAAGGGCCCAAGCAACCACTCAGGGTGAAGAATGTGTCGAGGGTTTGTGATTTTTACTCCTGTACCCTTCTGGAGACGGGAGTCCAGGGAAGGCAGACCCTGACTCCTGTCTTCACGGCTGCTCGCCGCAGCCACACAGCCAGGAAAAGCAGACCACCCCACCGAATGGGGTAGTGGGGGGCATGCAAACACCGTGGAAGACTTGCCCAAGGGCCCTTCCTCCCTGACCCCTCCTTGCTCCCCAAATGCAGTCAACCACCTCACTAAACGCAACTGCCTACTGCACTGCATGGACAGGAAGTTGGGGCTGGAGTCCTGAAGAGTCAATATCCTGTTCACTAGACCTTCGTGACTGCTAGTAGGGAGATTGAGGGGAAGCACATCTTCCCTCTGAGTTACATCACGAGAAGAGGTGGTAGAGAGATGGGAAAAAACAGAGCCCACCTTAGGAGTAAGCTGGTATTTTATCTTCCAGTTCGAGTAAGCTTTGTATTAACGATTCTCATTCTTCTTCCCCACCCATAACCCTTTTCAACTTCACAGATAAAACAAAAATTATCTACACAGCTGCTACGACTGAAGAAACCACTCCAGCCGTTCTGAGAAATGGTAACACAAAAGAGGAGTGCCCCCCTTCCACAGCCTAGCCTCGCCCGGTGGCCTGGATTCGGGTCAGGTGATTCAGAAAGCCAGTATGGTGAACCAAGAGGAGAAAGTGGCATGATGAGCACACCAGCAGTGTCTGAGTCTGTCTGCAACATTTCTAGCAGGTCTCAGGATCAAGAGCCTTGCCTAGAGGACAGAGGGTGGGGGCTATCTAACCTAAATGCCTCACCTACCCCCAGCTCAGAATTTGATACTTGTTAAACAAACTTGTTCAATGACACCCCTATGAAAGGAACCAAAATTGCCTTTTGCCCCCGCATCTCTAGAACAGTGCCCAATAGGCATATAAAAAGGTGCTTAATTTCTAAACTAGTTAAAAATGCTTTCCTAAAAACCAAATGTCCAAATCCTATTCCAAGTTTTATGACTTTAAAAAAATGCTCAGAGAGACTTAGTAGATTTCAAGTCTTTTCTAACAACCTTAAAATTAAAAGTTCAGATACCATTAGCTCCCTTTTGACATCACTACTGGGATTAAAGCTCCTGAGAATACAAGCACGACACCAAGTATACAAAAGCAAATGTAATAATATGCGAGAGCAATTAGTCAGGACAAACTAAAAAACTCACCCATAATGAAATGAAAGCATATAATCCCAGAAGTAGAGGGGAAACACTTTAACAAGAGCCAGGCAACAAGAAATATAAAAATCAACAGAATTTTCGTTAATCTAATAGTCTCACATCAGGTCATTAGTTATATCAGTGGTTTCCACATTATGCTCCCTCAAAATTCAGAGTTTAAGCTACTGTCAGAGTGCTTTCTCAATTCAAAGAAAATACTCAAATTAGAACTCTTAAAATTCAAATTTCCTCCAATGAAATTTAGACATTTGCATATTGCTCATGTGTAAACAAGCACTAGGCCAAAGATGAAAGAACAACTGATCTTAACACTGACAAACTGCTGATCACGCCTAACTACTTGTGATTTCTGTATCATTTAATGATTAGATACAATTGAAACTATGACAGTTTCAGAATGCCAGTCTGGCAAATGTCCAAGACTACTACTATTCCCAGTACCCATGCAAACTGAAGAATCACTAACCTGGGCCACTCACTAAAAGGTCTACCACCTATCTTTTTTTTACATATTATACACTTACCTAGCTATTTAAATATTCTCAGATATCTAACAGACATCATTTGCTAGGAAACTTGGTTAAGTACAACAAAGGGGGACTAGTTTAGAGGAAGGGAAGGCTAGACTTATAAAGATATTACCCTTGATGAAAAAAGGTGGAAATATTAATGTTGTGGCTGAGTCCACATGGAGAGACATTGCTGGACTTACGTGCTCACATTTTAAGGTGTATGTGCTGCCCTGGCTGGTGTAGCTCAGTGGATTGAGTGCAGGCCTGCGAACCAGACAATCGTGGTTCGAATCCCAGTCAGGGCACATGCCTGGGTTGCAGGCCAGTTCCCAGCAGGGGATGCACAAAAGGCAACCATACATTGATGTTTCTCTCCCTCTCTCCTTCCCTTCCCCTCTAAAGATAAATAAAATTAAATTTTAAAAAAAAGTGTACATGCTGCCTAAGCAAGCACCACATTGTTAAGGTAAATGTCGAATCATTATCGTATGCCTGAAACTGAGGTTATATTGTATACTAACTATACTTTAAAATACATTGCAGATAAAGATGTTATGCAAATACTAGATGAAAATATATAAATATATAGAACACAAAAGTTACACTATGCCCTGTCAAAAGACAGGTCCTAAAACTGCTTAGGCTCACACCCACACTCCTCATGACTTCTCAGGTCCAGGATCTGAGAATTTAGGCCAACTTGCTGGTTCAAACCACCTCCATCTTCCCTACCATTTGTTTAGAGGTTCTTATTTTATTGCCTATGTTAACAAATTATTTCTAGTATCAGGTTGGCCAAGTTCATTTGAAGATGGCTCTAGTAGATCTTAACTTGGAAACAATTTTGTTATATTGTGACAGCTCTATCAGTGTGCACTTTAAAAAACTTCCCAACTGAATTTCTGCGTAGCCATTGTTAACATTGGAAATGGAATACCAACAATTTCAGCATACTGTATTTCAAGGAAGGTAACAACACAACTGGAACCCAAAAAAAGATTTGTGCTGTGAATGGAGAAGGTGCTGTGTGAAACACGATTGAACATGTCAAGTGTTTTGCAAAGTTTCACGCTGGACATTTTCCTATTGGATGATGCTCGAGTCAGGTAGACGCATTGAAGCTGATCCGATCATATTGAGATGTTGAGATCAACGTTATACCACAAAGGAGATAACCAACATAGAGTATCCAAAAATAAAGTTTTCGGTGAAAATGAAAAATGTCTTGTCTTTTGTTTTACAGAAAAAATAATAGTTTCAGCCAACCCAACAGTAAGCCACTTGCAACTGCTTGGCTGACTTACAGAAAAAGAACAACCTTTTGCCATTTCAAATACAGCCAGTGCCCTTCATCCAAGTTCTAGCACACCATATAAACTCTCCCCAGAATCATCTTCACAACTTTATGGCCCAAGTTCTTGTCTTCAATACAGAGGCAAGTGGCCATCGTGCCAGTATACCCAAGAGCTTTTGAATCCAAACAACGATCTCTAGTGAATCTCTTTGAGGAAAACAAAAGCAATGTTTCCAGTGCTTTCCTCAAAATCCCTATAGGGCTAGGGCACAGTTAGCACTCCTTTGGTTTTGGAATTCTGCAATTTAGACTTTCTGGATTCCAATACCAGTCCAGTTACTTGCTCTTCTCTTTGGTCCTGAATTTCCTCCAATGAAATGGTGTTATCCAGTAAGTAGTTTTTTCTTACTGTCAGTAAGATTCAGTGAATGTTGCTACTCAGTTACCAAATATCTACCTAGCACTCAGAGGACTGACTAAAAAGGCTAGTCTGAGATTCCTGTTAATAGCTCAATTACCTGCAGAGAGCAACAAGCTTTAACACTTTAAATAAAGATGGATAGAGAACCTTAAGCAGCTTTCACTATTGTTTCCCCCTAAACAGATACTTACACACCTATGCCTCAGGAATAAAAGAAAAAGCACGTATTCATGTGTATTGATCCAGAAACCAAAAAAACCTTATGTGAAGATCTCTAACGATCACAATTTTCTACAACTTCTAAGTCAGGCATAAAATATTGTCCAATTTGCTTCCTAAATGATCTTCAAATTTTATGTATTGATTCTAGAGAAAGATAAAACATAGATTTGTTGTTCCATCTATGCATTCATTGGCTGATTCTTGTATGTGCCCCAGCAGGGATCAAACCTGTATAACCTTGGCATATCACTGGGCAATGCCCTAAACCAGCTGAGCTACCTGGTGAGGGCCCGGACTGCCCTTGCCTTGACTACAGGAACCTAAGTAACCTGATGCCAACAGAACAGTGGTGATAAAGAGAAACAGCATGGGAGGTCCATGACACATCAACAACGTGTTACTGAATAGTTCCGATTTCTTTGCCCATTTTCTGACTAGCCTAGAAATGTCAGAAGTATTACTTCAATTTTTAAAAATAAAGAATGTAACCAAATGACTCCAGGATTCTCTAAGAAATTCTGAATATGGTGAACGTAGATGGGGATGAGGCAGTAAATAGCACACATCCTTCAGACAGACAAATCAGTTTTATAATCTTTTATTATCAATAACAGCTGCTTTAATGCCAGGCAGCTGTTAAACGATGGGTGCGAGGACACCCTTGACCCTAACAAGAAAAACTGAAATTAAGCCTTTATGTACAAGCAAATTTAGAGCTCTTTTAAGTGTTCAAAGCTATTAATTAGTTTAATTGACACATTAAACTAATTCTGAATTAACATATTTGAATAATCAAGAACTAAAATGTTCAAATTTTTTCTAGTACAAAAAAATTAAATTTGCTTTAATTATAAAAGAGCTCTGTCAATATACACAAACTATATACTTCAGACATTCACAAAAATGTGAGCAGAAGGCTTATCAAAAGACATTTAATACAATTAGTTTTCAACAGCCCCTTGGTGGTCCACATCTACAAAGTTATCCAGCCCAGCCCACCACCCCCTCCAAATCCCACCCCCACAGAAAAGCACATACTTACCAGAATTTTTAGCAAGTATGCTTTGGGAATTTGTTTTTTGTTTTTTAAAAGGCCCCCGGGCAAGTTATTTACAGTTTAATTGCCACTGTCAGCTGATCTGGATCTGGATCGGGACCTGGACCGGGACCTGGACCTGGACCGGGACCTCTGGCGACCCACAGAAGCTGGAGACTTAGATCTACTTGAAGAACCACGTTTCTGGCTCTTCTCAGGTGCAGGGGACCTACTAACAGAACGGGACTTGCTTCGGCTCCGGCTCCTGCTCCTAGAGCGACTGTAAGACTTGCGACTCCGAGAACGAGATCGGCTACGAGACCTAGAGGAACTCCTGCTCCGGGAACGAGACCTGCTTCGTGACCTACTAGAAGGGGGAAAAAAATACAACGTAAGCAGCAGGCCCTCCAAACCTACTAAATAAAACTTTTGAGAGAAAAATATTAAAAGAAATACCTGTGCCTTTTGCTGCCTTCAATTAATTTAATTTTTCTCCCATTTATTTCCTTTCCAGAAAGTTTTTCAATAGCATTCTTTAAGTCACCATAAGAGGCAAACTCAACCACCCTACAATGCGAGGGGAAAAGAAAAAGACCACTGTAAAGTTATGTACATCTTGTATAGTACAAGCTATAAAAAACTAGATTAAGTACCTTTTCTATGTTCACTTCGCTATTGCTATGTCAAAAGTCTGTACTTCTCGATGGATAACATGGCATTAGAGCAAGGTTTCTCATCACCATGTTACTGCTGACATTTTAAGCTACACAAGTCTTGGGGGGGGTGGCTTTCCCACAACATCCCTAGACTATGTCCACGTGCCAGACGTTACCAAATGTCCCAGGGGAAGCAAACTAACCTGAGAACCAAGAGCATGTGCAAATTCAAGTACTCAGGAACATTCACAGTAGAATTTCCAAGATATTTTTAAAGGCTTATAATTTTTAGTGTACCACTTACCCTTCATTTAATTTAGGTCGATGTGCATCTGCAAAGGTTACTTCTCCAGCTTGTCTCATAAAATCTTTGAGATCCTTAACACAAGACAATTGTGTTACGCAGAGAAGTGGAAGCACGACACACAAACAACATAGCATAAAAACAAGACTACTGAAAGGGAAGATGTTAGATAAAGTACAAACATGGCATTTACCACACTTGTATTCTATCAGAATTCAAAAATTAATCTAGGTCAGGGCACGAAATAAGCAAAGAGCATATTGCTTTTAAGCAAAATGCTACAGGAAATTCAGATTTTAACATTAAGTGGTATTAGTCTATACTGAGCTCAATACAAAAGGAAAACAAACAAACAAAAAGAACAAAACAAAAACAAACAAAAAGTACATATTTTAAAAGTAAAGACTAAAGTAGAAACTTTATATTTAAAAACAAAATATTTACAAGACACGTTATTTTGTGCCCCATATGTCATTAAAAAAGTTTACATTACCTTTATTATTATTTCCCTAGGCTAGTCAAGCAGCAAACCGTTAATCGGTCGAAGAAACCTTCATGACATATGCCCGACTGGCTCTTCGCCACCCACTCGAAGGATACTACCCAATCGATGGAAGCCTTTAATCGCACAGCCCTCCCTATTAGCAGACTACTGGCGGATGCAGACAGGTTCTACTCTTGTGCAGTTACCAAGGACCACTTTATGCGAACAGGATTCCAACGACCAACTAATTTCGTATCTTTGAACTCTTTTCGGTCAGGACCTCTTATTCGGAAGCGTTACAGGAAGACAGCTCTCAACTTAGGAATCAGATCACGTTATCAGCGCTCTGGGATCGCTGCGACCTGGCACTTCAAAAGTGCCCCGATTACGTCTAGACCGGCAAACACAGATCTAGAGGTGGCCAACTGATCACTGTAGGAGCTGACTGGCAAAGTCAACCAGGGCCAACCAAGAGTGACCAAGACAACGATTAGGATAACCCACAGGCACTCCTCGTCATAAGGCCAACGACACAGATAGGCTGGCAAATAAAGGGTTTAATATTTGGTTAAAATTGATTTTAAGAACAAGAAAAAATATCCTCAAAACATTTACATTTGATCACTAATATTAAAGTTTGAAATATCCCCCAATCATGTTTAATTAAAAATTTAAATTACAATTAAGTCCATTAATTAAATATAGAATTACTTTAAAAAATATATTAGTAAAACATTAACTACCCATTCCATTAGTTTAAAAAAAAAGCCACATTAAAGTATCTCAAAACTGAGTTTCTACAAACCTGCCAGCTGACTCTTGAAGATAAATTCTCAACTATAAGCCGATTTTCTGTTCTTACAGGTGGAGCATTTCTGAGGAAGAAAACAGATATTCACAATGGAAGAAATACAGCAATGTGCACTTATTTTGCTCAACAATGAGCAAGTTTAAGCAACCAGATACAAGTCAGTCAAATGACTTTATCGACTACTTCTGAATTATTTCATGATTCATTATACAGACTTAACAGAAGACTGACACAAAACTAAGAGCACGTTTTGGTAAATACCAGAATCACTTGTTGCTAATGTGGTTCTTAGTTATTAAATACTCATAATATACGAACTATTCAAAAGAGCCCTCCACCACCACATACCGTCTATCGTTTCGAGGTCTGCGACTACTAAAACGATCAGAATAGCGTCCTCGACCTCTTCCACCACGAGATCGAGCCCGAGCATGTTCAATAGTAACCCTATAAAAAAGGAATAAAAATCTTCACTAACCCCATATGCTATGTAAGAAATACCCCAGCAACCTAACATTCTGTTTACAATGCTAATTATAAAAGATTCTTACCTTTCACTGCACAGTTCTTTTCCGTCAAGTTCATATACAGCATCATCTGCATCCCTAGGATCCTCAAATTCCTAAAACATAAGCATAAAGAAAATGTAATGTCTAGCACAGTGCATTCTACATGTCAAGAGCACTGAAAACACAGATGGGAAAAGAAGTATATTAATGACAGTGCCATAAAGATTAGTAAACCTAACTGACAGAGACCAGTAGTTCCCCTCCAGTGAGCACTAGCGGCACCGCAGCAGTCAGCAGTTAAGTGTTTATTAAAAAACTCATTGCCTTAAGGCTGCATAAAGATTCTCTGCCTGGACTCAGTAAGATCAACAATCTTTATCAACTTAACAGATGATCCAACCAGTTTCAAATACTTACCACAAAACCAAAGCCTCTTTTTAGATCAATATCTCTTATTCGCCCATATCCCTTGAAGAACCTTTCCACATCTTTTTCCC